TTCTTATTTCTTTCATGGAGCACCTTTCTCACTTGAACTCATCCATATATATATATATATATTATTTGTATTACAAAAAACAAAGAAAGAAAATAATTTGTGATTGGTCGAAAAATGTGCACGTTTAATATAAATGGTGTATTTTTTTATTTAATTTATTCGCACATTTATATTTTTCGATTTTGTATTTATTATTTTATGATTTATTTTTAACTTTATGAAGAATAGTAAGAGATGTGGATAAATAGGACTAGTGTTGGGTAATTGAATTTCGGTCCGAAAAGAAGTTATTGGACCTAAAAGAAGTTATTGGGCCCAAAAGTGCAATTGAACTTAACAACTCTTGGGCCAAGAGACTCCAATTGAGATCTTCCACAGTACTGCGAGAGAAACTCATACTTGGGTTGGGAATTATTCTCCAAAAGACGCCACGCAGCAACAAGTGATTGGGGCGGAATACCTTGGAAGGAGAACAAGTTTGAGAGGATTAACTAGTACTACCTCTTTTTTAAAATAAGTGTCGTTTTGATTTTTTTGATTCATTCATTTTATTATGTATCTAGACATAAATATGTCTAGATACATAATAAAATGGATGAATCAAAAAAGTCAAAACGACACTTATTTTAAAAAGGAGGTAGTAATTAATTAGAGGGCAAAGTACTGTTATACGGCCCTCATACAGGGCAATAAAATTTATACAAAAGAAAAAAAATGTAATACCAAATAAATGAACTGGATATGTTTTAAACTCGGCCTGGTAATTGACCCGGGCAGGTCTCTGGGTCAACGATTCAACTGTCGGGTCATCGGGTTAATTGCTGAACCGGATAATTAATTTTAAATTATTGTAAATTATATATAGAGTATTTTTGTCATATAAATATACATAGAAGTGACAAAATTAAATGTTTATTAAATATTTTGTGTATAAAATTTGTATATTAAAATGTTAATAATATGTATATCATGATAAATATTTACCATATAAACATACATACATAGTTTTATTTTTAAAAAAAATAAATATATATATATATATATATATATATAT